GACTTTATCAATTTAAAGCAATGCCCTTTGATATGAAGAACGCACCAGCTACATTTCAATGACTTATGGATGGAGTTGTGGCAGGATTGAGTCATTGGGCTGTCTATGTAGATGACTTAGTGAGCTTTAGCCATTCATGGAAAGATCACATGGTGCATTTGGCAGAGATCTTTGAAAGACTAAACGAGGCAAAACTGGTTATAAACTTAGCAAAGACTGAATTCGCAAAGGCAGAAGTGACGCTCTTGGGATATAACATTGGACATGGAATGATGACCCTGAGGAACATAAAGACGAAACGTTGAGGAATTTCCAAGACCATCCTCAAAAAAAAGAGGTATTTCGATTTTTGGGACTGAGCGGATTCTACCGGAAGTTTGTGCTGAACTTTAGTACCATCAGACTTCGGAACCAACATGATCGGCAAACTCCATTACATTGACTCGCTCGATGACTCCTTCTTGCAGCATTGCTTCCACTTCTGTAACTCTGCGCTTTAAGAGGACTAAGCCTGCAGGGGTGTTGTTTTATTGGAACAGCATTCCCTCCTTCAACCTCATGCATTATAGTACTAGTCCTCCCCATTCTATTCCCACTTATGTCCTCACCGCTGACGGATTTGCTAAAAAACAAAACCACAAAATTTTGGTGGACACAATAATGCCAGGAAACATTATAGAATTTAAAAGCCATATTAACCACTGCACCAGTTTTACCCACACTAAATTTCTCAACCTTTTAAAAATGCTATCGATTCCAGTAATATAGGGGTTGGAGCTGTGTTGATGCAAAAGAAGGATGGTGGAATTGAAAGGCCAATTGGATATTTTTTGAAGAAACTCCATTTTCATCAGAGAAGATACTCTGCTGTTGAAAAAGAATTATTGAGTTTTGTACTGGCCTTACAACATTTTAAGGTTTATGTTACGAACAATATTTCAGAGACGGTTGAGTATAGAGACCACAATCCTCTCACTCTTTTGGAAAAATGTAAGGACAAAAATATGAGACTTTCATTGCAGTCTTATGTTACAAACTTTTAACTTACAAATTGTACATGTTGTGGGACAGAAAAATGTTGGGGATACATTATCATGGGTTTAAAGAAAATGTATAAATAAGATTGGACCATTCCAGTTCAGTTATATATATATATATTTGAATTAGTATGAAAGGTATAATTTTAGAATACTGGACTATGTATTTTGTGGTAATAGTGTAAAGATTTAGAAAAAAATTGAAGCCATCTTTTCATAATGATGGTTCATTTCTTTTCTTAAGTGGGGAGGTGTTACAAAGTTGGGTAGAGTAATTGTGAAGTGGAAAGCAGGTAGCTAAAATGTGTGGTTCCTTTAAGATATTTGTGCTTTGTCTGTAGTTACAAACTTTTGAAAAAAGTATGTCTGTGACCAGTACTGAAATTGCCAATACAGAGAGCCTCAAAACGTGAAACAAGTGCATTGGAAAAAGCCTTACAGGTGGCAGGCAAAACAGCAGTCTTGTTTTGATGTTGTGACAATGAGTTTGAATTTGGCCAATTAATTTAAAACCAAACTCAGCGTTTCAAAGCCAAGTGAATTCAAATCTGATGGTGTTGGCAATATGAAGCAAATTACATTTTAAGAATCTGATGATGTCATTATGGGAATGTAAGACAAGGGCATTTGGAAAATCAGAGAGAGCCAACTGCCATCTGAAAGAGAAAGTCATCCACCAGTCATCAGTGAAGGCCCATTTAATTAATCAAAGGTACCATGGTAGTTTAGCTGAAAGTCCTCATTGAAGAAATTATAGAGATAAAACATTCCTGACAGCAGAATTAGCGGAAGAAAAATGTTTGTGAAGAGACTGGAGACGACAGAATATTCCAGAAGACAGTCTGTGTGAACTTGGAGAGATTAAATTATAATTTATTGCTTCTTATTAATTAGGTTCACATTAGTGGCACTTGCCTTTATTTAAACAGCATTCCAGTAGAATTTAGACCCTAACCCTAACCCTATCGCACGTAGTTAGTAGTCTAAGGGGGAATTGTTGGTTTGTTAGCAACTTTGTCAGTACAGAGAGCCTCAAAAGTGCCTCAAAAGAGCCCCATAGTGCCCAGGGATGTTTAGGTTAGGTGGGTTAGACGAGGGGAATGAGTCTGAGTGGGATGCTATTTGGAGGGGCGGTGTGGGCTTGTTGGGCCGAATGGCCTGTTTCCACACTGTAGGGATTCTATGATTCTATGATTTGTTAAGTTGTTCATTGTTAGGATAAATAAATAAATTGTTTCATGTTACTTGTAAAGTGGCAATCAAGGTTGTTCTTTTTTTGAACCACTCTTTTAAAAGATTGTGAGGGGAAAGACAAGCTTCTCTGGGTGTTTCAGGGGTAATTATTAGAGGGGAAACCCCGACTCCCATCAAAGAAGATTGTGTTTTAGTTTAATTATCAGAGGGGTTCGGCTATTCCCCATCATAACAATAGTTAGAGATGACTTGGTTCAGGAGGTCAGGAAGTAGAGTCATTTTAGTTGGCGATTAGGAATATTGGAGGAAAAAAAATCACTTTTCGGTGTGATCTACAGAGCCCCAAACAGTAATCACAATGCAGGGAGAGGTATGCAAGAAACATGTTGTGCTTGTATTGAAGGGGTTGCAATAATGAAGTAACTTTAATCTATACATAAACTGGAAAAATCACATTACAAACAGTAACCTTGATGAGGATTTCATGGAATGCTTTCAAGATTAGTTTCTTAGACCAGCATATTCTGGAAGTGACCAGACAGCAAGGTATAATTGGTGTTGTGAAATATGACAAGATTAGCTAATGACCTCTGAGGAAAAAATACGTTTAGGTAGAAGAGATCATAATCTGACCGAATTTTACTTCCAGTTTGAAAGTGAGTCTGACTATAATTTTAAACAAGAAGAGTATGCGTTCATATTCAAAGTTTCTTTACCGCAGCCGTGTTCTCAGCAATAAGTGTTTAATAGTTATCTCCATTTAAAGCACTTCTTCCATTGCTAATTTTAGACATGATTTGCAAGCACTCTATTTTAGGTGACTTTAAAGTTGATTCTCCAGTCGAACTCGAGTAATTACTTGAAAATGATGCCGATCACTGGAAGTAACCAAGTGATATTCTGAACTGTTACTAATCTGAGACAACAAGGTGTAGTGCTGGATGAACACAGCAGACCAAGCATCATCAGAGGAGCAGGAAAACTGATGTTTCGGGTCGGGACCCTTCTTCAGAAAAAAAGATTTCATTTTTTTCTGAAGAAGGGTCTAGACCCGAAACGTCAGCTTTCCTGCTCCTCTGATGCTGCTTGTCCTGCTGTGTTCATCCAGCTCTACACCTTGTTGTCTCAGATTCTCCAGCATCGGCAGTTCCTACTATCTGTTACTAATCTGACTTTGCCTGAAGTCCTTCAAGACAGGAGGTAGAGTCATAGCAAAGTTATATGTTGAAAAGTCATAAATTTTATTGCAGTTGAGCATATTATCACAAATGTCACATAACGAACTAAAATCACAATTGATGGCATTCGAGTTTTATACAGCATGTATCTGAGCTGTTAGAGTAGAAATAACGCAAGTTTGAGCCTTGGTCTGTGCTAAACTTGCTTGGACAATTGGCCTCTGGATTAAAGAGGGCAACCTCGTGCAGATTACCTGTTCCACATGGTTATTTGGGAAAAAGTGGCTATAGCCTTACAGGACCATTACATCTGCTTTCTCATCAGAGAGAAACGACTGATGATTTAACCTGAGGGTAACCATTTTTCAAGCAAGGGGAGAAGTTGATGAGTCCTTCGTGGTAACCTCAGCTGGTGCAGAAGTTGAACCCATTCTGTTGGCATCACTCAGCATCGCAAATCAGCCATTCAGCCAGCTGGGCTAACTGTTATTCAGTGACCTCTGCTGGACATGAAAGTGTGGACCTCGGCTGAGGACAGAACTTGGCTCGCCAATCATGCCCTAATGCCCAAAAAGCATGCCAACACTTTTATCATGATTGACAAATGAATTCTCTGTGGAGAACGGAAGTTACTACTTTGAGTCCAATATGACTCCTCTTCAGAACTGGAGAATTTTGTTTTCGGTTCTGAAGAAGAGTCATGTCAGACTTAAAAAATTAACGCCTTGATTCACGAATGATAGTGTTTCAAAAAGAGAAAAGGTAAAACATATTAAACAAAAATAAGGGCACATTGTACCTTTCTACTTATTATAACACAGTTGGAAGTAAATTTCATACAGATCTTTCATTGGTAGGGAAACAAATTATTTGTTTCTATCAGAATTGTGATCTGTTATTTATGATGAAAGAATTTATGATTTTAAGTATAACTGTCATTATAAGTATTGTTGTCTTACAAGTAGCATGTCATTGTACTTTAACAAGGCACACTATTTTAAAATACCTTTAAGAGACATGCTCATGATGTCAGCCCTGTGTCATAGCATGGACCTAAGGGCATAAAGGTCTCAAACTCCATCTTAATTTGGGCCATTTACAGCATACGTCTCTGATGGAAGTATGCTACTTTTCCCAAATAGCCCAATATTAGCCCAGACACTTCGGTGTTTGTGAATCTAAAATTCATATATAAAGGAGCTATAATAAACATCTGTTGGATCTTCAATACCATGTTACCCACAGCTAGTTCTTATGTTATGGCAGATAACATAAACATTGCTGTATCGGTTACAAATACTTTGCTCAAGGCAAAGCCCAACTCACATATAATTGCAAATGGGCCTGTTACTTTTACTAACTGCTTCTGCAAATTAAAAGTTAAAATCCGAATTCATGTTAAATAATGCAGAAAGCTACTAACAGCTGCTGAATGCTGGAAAGAAACACAAGAAATATATATGTAATTTTGCCCCCTTGCTGTTTTGAGTGTTCTATTCTCCTTTTTCCTTTAACCTGAAAGCACTATCAGTCCGCAAAGGGAGATACATAAACATTAAAACATGTTTTCTCAATGTATGTCTTGGAATAGTGAGGGTGAGTCAGACACGGATTCTGAAGTTGATGAACGTGTTGATGATGTCAAATCCTGGCTATCAAAGAACAAGGGCTCAGCCAAAACCTATTCCGATGATGGAAACCTAAAAAGTTCAAGGTTAGTAGAAAATCTGAATTAATTTAATAGGTTTTTTCAAAGATGGTAAATACTTCCTACACCAAAATTTAAGTAAATATGTATTAACTTGTATTATTTTAGTAAAATATCAAGTTGAATTTTAAGATGGCCTACCAATATTTTTCTCATAACTATTTTGTATTTGTCAGTAAGTGATACTCCTTTTATGCATAATGAAATAAAGTTTAAAAGATAATTACTAGAAACTGCTCTGAAATTGCTTGCTTATTCGGTTACTTGGACATATTTCCTTCAGTCCCAGGCGGGACATTGGACACTTCTTAAAACCTTTTTCCATGTTTCCCTGTCATTTGTCTCAAAGTGAGCCCATCACAACCATCTACTTCAAAACTATTTTCATGTGCCTTTAGCATTTTCCACCCCTTTTGTTGCCTATTACTACTGTTAGTGTTTAATTTTGTACAATGTACATATTTACTTTTATGATTTAATTGTAATTTGATTTTCTTTCTCTTTGTTCCCCATTTGTCTGTTAACCAGATTTTCTCTTAGTTTGGACCTGAAAGAGGGAAAGGAAGGGAAAGAATTAAAGGAAGGGAAGGAAGTGGAGGACGGTAGACCAGTTTCTGTAATAAGTTCTCTCAGCTATCGTAAAAGAGGGAATATGAAGGACTCTATTAGTGGTAAAAGCAATAATGACCCCCTTCTGACAGCACTCAGTAAGGAACGGTCAATATCACCAGACAGGTCATTCCGAAGGATAAAGAAAACCACCAGTACAGACAATTTGAATGACAACTTCTCTGTTATTTCTTGGAAAAAGTCCCAAGGTGTTGAAGACATGGATGATAGGGGGTCTGTCATTTCTCAGGCGTATTCAGAGGCCACAAGTACAGCTAGAAAAGGACTGGACAGGAGATGGGCCACGACCAGTCCTGATTTTGATAAAGCTTCTACAGTATCAGTTCCTGTGAGTCATATTTCAACACGGCGATGCTTGGAAGCTGAGGATGATGTCAAGTCCTCTGTGAGTTTTGCTATAAACAGTCCTTCATCTAGCCTGAGACGAAGTCTTTCACGACTTGATGACAATCAGACTGATTTATTCAGTCCGGTTAGCCCATTGCTGAATCGTAAATCAGAAGTAGGAGTGCAAAGCCCTACACTTAGTGGTCGTATGGGTTCAAGATTGTCTTTCACTAAAAGTAGATTTGGTGAGGTGGATGATGATGCTGCCGTCAGTGTAGTTCTAAGTGAAAGATCATCATATAGTCAACAATCTGTAGGACGCAGCTATAGTGTTCCTCCCAGACCTAGATCTTCTGCTTCAGATGATATGCAACTGGATAGTTCTAATGTAAAACCTGTGGGCCACAGGAATTATTTGGATCCCGGTTTAGAAGCTGCCATTAATGAAGTTCTGAATTATAAACCAATTACGTTCAAAAGAACAAGTCGAGACCCAGACACTGAAGAAGATGAGGAAAAGGTAAATAAACATCCATCTGTCCCTCTAAGATCCTCTTCTTGTCTAGATTTCAGTAAGTCACTAAGTAAGAAAAGCAAAAGCAAAAATAGCAAAAGGTCAGATTCTGAATCACCTGAATCAGAAAGTGAGCAAAGAAAGAAAGGCTCCAAGAAACACTCTAAGAAGTCTAAGAAGAAATCCAAAAAAAAGGAAAGTGACTCGGAGTCATCAGAATCATCGTCCAGTTCCTCCTCTTCAGGGTCTACAGTTTCATATCGAAGTATCAATAGTATCAGACGCGGTGCAAAAAAGAGAGAATCTAATTCAGAAGATGAATTTGACAAAGAAAGCAAAGCTGAGAAGTCTGGAAAGAAAACAAAGAAAAGCAGCAAAAATAAAATGAAGCAAGTAGACAGTGTGATGATGAAGTACTTATACAGACCAGAAAGTGACTAGTAAAGTAGGTCCATCTGAATTCTGTGTGGAATGTAGCATTGAAAATGCATGACAATTTAACTTAACTTCTCTTAACTGTTGAAAAATTACTCAGTTCATACTGTAAGCATAAGCATGCTGTATTCTGTAGCAATAATAATGTAATCCAGAGCAGAACAGAGTGGTACATTGGATTGGGCATAAGAGTATCGAAATTACAGCCTCCTTTATGGGATAAATATTGTTCTGTTGACTCAAAGTCTTGTGTTAAGGACAAATTTGATCATTCAATGGGCAAAGGTACAGCAAAAACCTGGCTATAATTTTGTTCAAGTTGATTATCTCACTCAGAGAGGCTACTGACTGGCTGGTGTGGGAAATGGCAGAAATAAAAGTCTCACGGTGGAGGGTGCTTTTCAGAATTTAGGACAAAACATAGGATCTTTGCATCAGTGTGCACATGCGTGATTGCTTGATGTTGATTCTAAGTGCAGTAGTTACATCCAGATAGTAAACAGGTGAGCTTGGGATTGCTAGTCATTCTGTACCCCATCTGATTTTGCTTGCCATTGTTGTCAGTAGAGAATTAAAGTGAGTGTGGGCGAAAGATAAGACCCCTGAGCCAAAGCCATTCATTTCCTGTCTGGCATGATACATTATAATTATTGCTGGGTTTCTGAAATAAGAAGCATTGCACTACATAGCACTTACCATGTTCATCAAAATCAACATATGTTTCTTCTGAAACAACTTTAACTCTTCACCAATGTTAACATCCCTCAAAATAAGTACTATAAGTATGTGCTAAGCATTTATTCTATACACCTAGTGTAAAAGTTAATCAATCTTTGTTTCCCATTTTTCCTTTTCCATGATCTGTCAAATTTGATATCAACCCCCTATACATTTTTACTTACCAAACAGAGAAATATCTGACCATAAACTCACTATTTATGCTATTGCCACAAATGAAGTGTTACTCTTTTCTGACTCCAAACCAGACAGCAGGCTAACATGAAATGTACAATTAATTGCATGTTGGGTGAATTCTTTTTCAATCATCACTAATCTTTTATTTCATAATGTAACATGCATAATACTAATCAATGTTTTCTATATTGTATTAACATTTCTTATGAAAAATGATATGTCATAATGTTGTATCATAAGTGAGGAAAAGAAATGTTGGCTGGTAAATATAGCACTAAATATCTGGCCATGACAAATGGAATAGATTTTGAATAGATCTAGCATTCGAGACTGGGAATCTAAGATACACTGTAGGGCATCAGCAGCAGCAGAATTGTATACAATCGTGATCTGCAGTCTCATGGTCTGGCATATCTCCCACTCTACCCATATCATCAAGCCAGCGGATCAAGCTTGGTTCAATGAGAAGTGAAGGAGGGCATGCCAAATGCAGTAACAGGCATTCCAAAAAATGAGGTGAACCTGTTGAAGCAACAACACAGGAATTACTTGTAAGCCAAACAGCGTAAGGAGCTTAAGAAATATAAGCAGGAGTAGACATTGGTTCTCTCAAGCCTGCCTTGCCATTCTATAAGATCAAGACTGATCTGTCCCATGCCTGCACGCCGATTCTTGTCAGCTTTCCATAGTTTTCAACTCCTCTGTTTCAAAAATCTATGTATAACTCTTTTAATACTTTGTGTGAAATCACCTTCACAAATCTCTGGGATGGAGAATTCCAGACATTCACTCAACAGCCATTCATTGACACAGCTAAGCAACCCCTCAACCAATGGATCAGTTCTGCAATCCTGCTAGTCACCTGGTCATAGATGGTGATGTATAATTAAACAACTCACTGGAGGAGGAGTTTCCATAAATAACCCTAACCTCAATGATGGGGAGGTTCAGCCTATCAGAACAGAAAGACAAGGCTGTAATATTTGCAGAGTTCTTAAGCCAGATGTGCTGAGTGAATGATAGGGACATAGAAACAGGCATGGGCCATTCAGACTGTCGAGCCTGCCTCATCATTCAGTGTGCTCACAGCTGATCAAACACGTCAGTGTCTTTCACTCACCCCATCACCATAACCCAATTCACCAGTAGAAATTAGAAAAGAAAAATTCCAACAAATTTGTCAAACTTGATTTCCCATTCACGAATCCATGCTGACCTATGCCCAATCAGATCATTACAAAGCTGATGCCTATTTTCCTCATCATCTGTAATAAGTTCTACTATCTTTCCTATTACTGATGTAAGGCTAACAAGTCTGTAGTTCCTTGTTTTCTCTCTGGCTTCCATCTTACATGGTGCGGTGACGTTTTGCTACCTTCCAAATCCAGGAATCATTCCAGAATCTATAGACTTTTGGAAGATAATCACCAATGCATTGACTATCTCTATAGCCACCTTCTTCAACACTCTGGGATGAAAACTATCAGGTCTTGGGGAATTATCAACTTTCAGCCCCTTTAGTTTCTCCAGTACAGTCATCTTACTCATGCTAATTTCTTTCAACTTCTCATTCTCCCTAGCCACTTAGATCTGTACTTCTAACAGATTTCTTGCAACTTCCTCGGTGAAAATGGACACAAAGTAATAATTAAGTTTCTCAGCTATTTCATTATTTCCCCTTATAGATTCCCCTAACTCTTCCTTTAATAGACCCGCATTTGTTTTAGCCTAGCGTTTCTTTCTTCACATACCTAGAGAAGGTTTTTCAATCTGTTTTTATTTAATTTGCTAGATTGCATTCCTAATGTATTCTCCCTTTGTTCATCATTTTATTGTCACCTCTTTGTCGTATTCTATAAACTTTCCAATTCTCATGAACTTTCTTTTGCTAGCCTCCTCTGGAGATCTCTGCCATCACAGATGACTGTCTTCAGCCAATTTGATTCATTCCATGGTTGGCTGAGATTTATTATTTTCGAGTGAACAGTCTTCCTAGAAATTCACTAAAAAAATTTTACCACTTCTCCAATGAGAGAATTTAAGTTTTAATAGCATTAACGTTGCTGAATCACACCACCACCTTCTCGATGGAAACTAGGGTGCACGATAAATGCTGGCCCAGCCAGTGAAAACCCCATTTCACAATGGATAATAAAACAAAGTTACCTCAAAAGTTTTGGGCCATGAGCTGGAAAATGAAATTGGGATTGTCATATCTTTATGACCAGCAGGGACATGATAGGCTGTATGACCTCCCACTGTCTGTAAATGTCCATGAATATCACCTGTAACTTCCATGGCTCTAGTTAGCAAAATTTGCTGGTTCTTCAAAATAATATCAGACGAAGTCCACTGCATGGCAAAACTTCAGTTTGGAGAGAAGAAAAATGTAAATTCATCTCTCTAAATATTTGAACTGTGATTAATCTTTGATCATAGTTGACCCTCCGTGTAAAGATTGATAATCTCTAGCCCAACAGTGTCCTCTGCACTAAGAATTTTGCCAAAGGATTGATTGGAAATAATGACTGCTGCTGGCATTTCTTCCATTAATTGTCAGAGGAAAATACAGTATATTACTCCTGAACAAATTGTTAGATGTGTGTTGTTTGCTGTTACTAAAACAAATCTAACTGTTTTAAGTTGTTAATTCCACTGCAGTTGTAGCATCTGCACAAAATAAATATGAGAAGGAAGTCTAATTCTTCACTACTCTGGAGTCGTCAGACCCTAGTTTTATCTATAATTTCTGGATGTTTCTTCAAAGCAAAACCTTTTGCATTGATGCTACAATTCTAAGTGCAATATTAAAAAAAAATGTAGTTTTTGGTTGAATGATTGGGTTTATAACAACATATTTTCTCTATTTCTTTCACAGCCCCCCATTGTATCGTCGACACATCTCTGTCATGAACTCTGACGATGAGATGGACAATATTGAAGATACCCTGAAGTCCAGGTTGTCAACCACGTGACTGCTAAACAATAGTGACAGTGACACCAAAATTGTGGAATCAAATGCATAGCTAAAAATGTTGTTGTTGTTGTCCACAGGTTCATACTAACCAAAACAGCTCAGCACATGATATTTGAATTTCTTGGGACATTACTGCGGTGATGTTGGGTTGGGTGAGACAATAAAATTGGAAGTGGGATGAATGAAATACGAGATCTGTTGATGCTCTATCATCTTGGTAATAGTCTCGCATGATATTGATAGGTTGTATTAATTTGAAATTTAAATTCACTACAAAGTTTACTATGATTGGTATTTCATACAAGTGTGGAATCTCCTGTTTTCGTCTGCATAATTTGGAAGCCTGTAATATATAGAGGTTCGTTTTTTTCTTGCTTTGTTTTCTATTGCTATGGCTGATCTTTCTTATCGGTACTGCTTTCGAAATCTAATTCAAACTTGACATCTCCGGTTGCAGTCTAAAGCTACCACTGAATTTTTCATGCAATTATTTTTACCTGAGCCAAAGATTAGTTTTTTATTTATCTACCCTAGACTGGAAAATTGACACAGATAAGAGCAAAATAACAGAACTCTTTGGCTTCAAACTTTTTCTCAAATGATGTATGTGTGCATATGTTAATACTTTTTTGAAAATAAACAAATTTGGTGTTGATAGTTCACTAAAGCCTGCACTCTTACACAATCTGTTTATCTTGTATCTTGAAGCTCAAAATATAAAGTTTAATATCATATCCTCTGCATCACACACCAAAAATAATAGTTTAAAAAAAACAGTTGTATATGTAATCTTCTGTAGTCAAGATTTATAATCTAAAGGGACAAAGTAATTAGGAAAGGAGGGTATTGGGAAAAGCTGACCCTTTAGAAACTAACTATTGTGTTCTTTTAATATATAGACTTTCTATTTATGTTTTGTTATCTCTTCACCATTATGCTTGGTTATTCAATGGCAAAAGTGATACAGTTCTTAATGTCAAAGAACCTGCTGCCATTTAATCTTGATTAAATCAAAATTCAAATTGGAACCAATAAATTGGATTAGTTTCCCTCCACATGATAACAATGCGGAAATAGTTTAGGAAGTTGCAATGTCTGTAAAGTCAAATGGCTGTGGTTCTTAAATACCTAAAACATTTTCTGTCTTTAAATGTTGGCAGATCACTCCTTCACAATGGTTGCTTTTGATTTTGGATATTTTATTAAAAATCAGTTCATGTAGTATTACTGTTTATCGTTCAAAATTAGTGACCATTGAAATCAAGGCTGGAACTTCAAAATAAAGTAATTTAAAAATCCTTGTATACACTCTCATTTTTCATCAGATTGCATGGATCATTTAAGTGACTCCTTGGAATATTAAGATATTTCTTTATAAAGTAATTACAGATACTATTCTGATAGTTCTCCTTGAATGCTCATTGACTTGTTCTGCCATTAGTGTTTGGAATGAAGTTTAAATGAAGACCTACTTTCCAGTATATAACTGTGCACTTTTCAAGAATGCAGACTATGTACATTTTACTCAGTACAGATAATAGCAAACAGATTGCAGTGCTGGAAGGTTTATTAATATTTGTATTATGTTATTAAAATGGTACAATTTTATTCAGTTAGTCATAACATAGCACTGATGTATAAAGTTCTGCAGTTAATTGGCAAATTGGATTATTGTGATATCAGAAGTTCTGTCGTGTAGTTTCAAAGATTTCTAATAGTGTAATGGAAACAGCTTTAACAGATGAGTAAATGTGTAAGATGAGGATGGATTGAAATTGCTTTGAAAGATTGCAAACTTGAAAAAGACCATATTGTCCTCTATTAAGTGTACTTTTTGGTGACTATTTATGTGACAAAATAAACTTATTGGTTGTCTTACAAGTTCCCAAATTATTATTATCTTCATTATGACAATTATAGCAAAGAATAAACAGAGAAAAATGACTTCAATATTATTTTTGTTTTCAAGAATGTTTTCTCCTCATTTAAGTTAATTTACAGAGCTTGCCACAAGGAGCAGTGATGATTCATTGGTTGCTTGCTAAATGTACGTCATATTTTAAGCAAGTTGTGTTAAAAGGATTGTCAATTTTTAAAAAAATATACTTCATGATTGTAGCTATTAATTAATTTTCCTCACTGATGCGATGATGTCTATTAATTACTTCATTGAAGTTACGTACTTGTGAAAAATGGGTTGTTCTTTGCACTCAGTGGTTAAAGTTTGAGAAATTAAGCATTATATTTGGAAATCCAAAGAACACTGATGGACTTTGTACCAGGTCTTCATGGATAATTCCAACACCTTCTAAGTAATTTAGTCCAATAAGTGTTTGTATTATTAAATGCATTTTGTCATTGATCAAACATAAATAGGTGGTTCACAAATGTTTCTACCAAACAGAAATCAAGCTGAGAAGGAATCCAAGAATTGCTGCTTTTGTGACTAACTTAAGTAATATAATTCCATTATTTGCCTCTCTCGGTCTGAGGAAGATTGTGATTGTTAATGTAGTTTAGGGAATGTAGAAACTAAATTGGAATAAGGCACATTCTTCAAAATTATCAGTAAGTCACTTGTGGTTACCATCAATCAAGTGTTTTTTTAATTGAGAGCTCTATCAACCTTTGTGCAGCTTTCAAGTTGAAATTGAAGTTCCTGCTTTGTGTGCTCAATTCTTGTAGATTTTTGGAATGCTATTATGGCGTATCTGAAGAATTGGGGAAAAAAATGAAAGGTTTTGAAAAATTCAACACTTGATTTGATGTTCAGACTCCTGTTGTGTAAGCCATTTCATAGTCATTTGGTGCCCAGCAGCATCCTAGAAATAACAATCATTTAATCTGTTTAGATTTTTAATGATGCAGAACAGTGGCCAGAGCACTGGGAAAACTCCCTTCTCTTACCAATATGCAATCAAAGTTTCAGTATCCACCAAAATTTGGGAGTCTGCCTTCATTAGAAATCTGATTTGAATTATAGCACCTCCAATTAAGCAATTACTTATCAAAATTACCTTGAAGTGTTGGCGTGGAGCATGTGTTTCTGAAATACTGAGGTGCAGACTCTTGCACTTCCTTGAGTAGGAGATTAGCTCCAGCTTTATTTAGTGGCTCATCAATTCTTCTTGATAGTGATAGCATCCTGGTGCTGGAACAGTGTGACCTTTATAGTTGATACTTGTTGTGATGATTCACCTATCCTCTTTTCACCAGTTTGAGAGAGTTATTTTGACAGATAAATGATCAAGCAGGAATGGAAGCACAACTTGGTGTCATGTGCTGTTTTGGATTCAAGAACAATCAGACAAATATGAAGTTTTTTAAAATTTATTGTTTCATATGACATGAGTATTTGATTCCTATCCCTTAATCGTTATTGAGAAGCTAGTGATAAGTCGTTGCTTTGAAATCCTGCAGTCCGTGCAGTGATAGTACTCCCACAGTATTATGAGGAATTTCCAGGATTTTGACCTGCATATCCAATTTAGAGACTATTTTTTTTTTAGACCTTTGTCACTGGTTAAGATGTTCGTAGGCACAGATATTTTGGGTAATATCTGTATAAATCCAGCAAATACAACTTAATGGTAGACTTGGCTGCTAGCATTTAATAATGTTCTCCAGCAGCACCTGCTCAGCAAACACCCAGTTGGAATTCTGTTGGGACTACTTCAGCCTCTGACCTCTTTACAGCCTTGTTTCAAACATAGACAAAACAGCTGAACTCCAGAGGAAAGAGTGACTGCCCTTGACATCAAGGCTGCATTTAACCAAATATGGCATCAAGGAGACCTAGCAAAATCAGAGGCAGTAGAAATTGGCAGGAAAACTGGTTGAACTCATGCCTGGCACAAACGAAGGTGGTTGTGGTTGTTGAAGGTCAGTCATCTCAGCTCCAGGGCATCATTGCAGGAATTCCTCAAGGTAGTGTTCTAGGCTTAACCATCGTCGGCTGCTTCACCAATGACCCTCCCTCCATTATAAGATCAGAAGTGGAGATGTTTGCCAATGATTGCACAACATTCAGCACCAATCGTGACTCAGATACTGAAGCAGTCCATGTTCAAATACCTGAAAATCTGGACAAAATTCGGGCTTAGGCTGAAAAGCGGCAAGCAACATTTGCTCCATACAAATGCAAGGCAATGACCATTTCCAAAAAGACAATCTAACCATCATCCCTTGACATTCAATGGCGTTGCCGTCTCTGAAACTCCACTATCAACATCCAGGTGGTTACCATTGACCAGGAATTGAACTGGACCAGCCACATAAATGCAAAATCTGCAAGAGCAGGTTATAGGCTAGGAAATCTGGAGGAAGTAACTTGAAACCTGATCCTGCAAAGCCTACCCACCATCTACAAGGCACAAGTCAAATGTGATGGGATACTTGAATAAAAGCAAAATCTGCCTAGCACTTCTGACTTTATCCATTCCCCTTCTTCTCAGGACGATAGGATTGCACTTGTCCTTACTTTCCACCCTACTAGTCTCCGCATTCAATGGATCATCCTCCTCCATTTCTGCTGCCTCCAGCAGGATGCTATCACCAAAAACATCTTCCTCTTCATTTCACTGTCAGCATTCCACAAGAACCGTTCCCTCTGTGTAACCCTGGTCCTGTCTTCCATCACCTCTAATGCCTCCTCGCTCCCCTTTGCACCACCTTGTGCAATAACAGAAAGTATAACACTTGCCCATTTTCCTTACCCCATTCCTCAGTGTCCAAGGCTCCAAATGCACCTTCCAGGTGAAACAGCATTTCATATGTACTACTTTTAGTATAATCGACTACATTTGCTGGTCATAATGTGGTCTGCTGTACATTAGTGAGACCAAACACAGATTGGGTGACACTCCCTCTGCAACCCAACCCCCACCACCCCACCACCAACAGCCGTATTGTGTTTGTGTCTTGTTTACTTTGCGCTTATTAGACTAGACCACCTCTCTTCCTTTCACACCTTAATTTACACCAATTTTACATTTTTGTTTACTCTGCTATTAACAGTCCCTTTGTCTTTTGCACTAGGTCCCTACAGCATCTGCCCTCTTGCTCCTCCTCTGCCTCTGTTTAAAGTATTAAAAAGAACTCATTTTACAACATCTTTCAGTTCTGAAGAAGAGTCATACTGGATATGAAATGTTAAGACTGTTTCTGTCTCTGCCGATGCTGGCAGACCTGCTGAGTTTCTCCAGCATCCTCTGTATTTGTTATGTAATGGCATATTCCCCGCTTGCCTGGACAAGTGCAGCTTCAACAACTCTCAAGAAGCTTGGCACTATCCAGGACAAAATATTGACAAAAACCTTGATTGTTATCCCATCCACAAATATCCAGTCCTTCCACTACCAATGCACAAGAGTAGTAGTGTATACTATCTATAAGATACACTACAAAAAAAATCACAAAAGCTCCTTCAACAACACCTTCTGAACCCACAATCATGTCCATGTAGAAGGACGAAGGCAACAGATATGTGAGAACACCACCACCATCTGTAAGTTCCAATCCTGACTTGGAAATCTATTGCAGTTCTTTCAGTGTTGTTGGGTTGAAGTCCTGGAATTATCTCCATAATGGCATTGTGGGGCTACCAGTAGCACATAGAGCACAGTGGTTCAAGAACACAGCTCACCACCACCTGCTCAAGGGATGGAATTAAATGCTGACTAACAATACCTACATTCCCTGATTAGATTTTTTTTTTAGAAAATAATATGAAAATGTTTGCATTTGAGAAGAAGCAGTTTTATAATTTGTAAACTGGTATGGTAGAATAGATAGGGAACTTGATTGCAGTATAGAATTTTAAAATGACTTATTCAATGTGAGGGCTTGACCCTTTTATAACCGTCAGACTTTGAAGTTTGAAAATGTAAACCAAAAAGGAAAAGTGCGTTCTTTGCAGGAGTGAATGGAGCATCTCCGCTAATTCACAATGGTGTAATTTACACATAGTAAAAGGTAAATGACACTTTCTTTAAAGTATCCAAGCACTTCCATCTATCCTTGTGCTGTCATATATGGAGATACCCTGTTAATCTTGTCAGAATTTGTTGATATTCCATGTGTTTGTAACTTCAAATGAGCACAAACTCGATTTTCCCTTGTGGGAAATGTCAATGCTGCAGTAGCAACCCTGTCAAAAATGATTCCTTTTACTGTAATTTTCGTGATTGCATAATTTACGTCTGTCATTTTCTGTTAATGCACAAGGTCCCAAACATGTGTATTACTTTTGCTTGCTATGAGACAGACAGATTTAGTCTTTGGATGGAAAGAATTATTTTGAAAGGGTGAAAATGTGACTTTTGAGTTTTGTATGTAGAACTCCTTTTTAATTTTGACACCAATGAAGAAATGCTGGCCAAAATCGGTGGAGATTTTTTATTGATGGAGATAAAACACAAGTCAACCATTTTTATGGACTTTATTACACTGATCACTGTTTAGTATAATTGACAAATTCAATGAGGAGGACCATTCAAAATATAGCAAAGATTTTATCTGTTGTTTTGATGTATGTTGAATGCTGTTATGGAATTTTTTTTATTAGTCATATTTCAAAGTGCAAAAGTTCTAATTACAAATATTAGCATTTAATATTTTGTAGTAAATCTGACCTGACATCTAAAAACAAATTAGGCATGTAATTTTACAAATTGTCTCCTAAAATGAGTTACATGAATAAACATCGACAGTATTTTGCTGTGCAATTATCTACAAATATGCACATACCTGAGTTTTTATTGATTTTTGGAATTATTGCTGCAATCATCAAGTTGAAAATCCCAAAATATACTTCATTGGGATTGTGACTAGTAGTTAGCTTATTTGAAGTATCCACGGTTTAATGTTTCTGTCTATGCACTTCTAAGACTGAGGAAGAGAGATGTTCATTTCCAATGCTACTGCCA